GTTGAATGCACTGCTTTCTGCGTACCACTTGACATCTACTTCATTGATGGTCAGCAAGGGACTGGCAAATCAATGTTCCAATGTTCAATGGCTCTTACCGGCGGTCAACCAAGCCTCCACCTGAAACCCAGTTCAGTTTGAAGACTCGGGTAGAGCCAGGCACTGGAGTGCCGGCGTTCACTTGGAGTGCTAAGATATCACCCTTTTGCTTCCTCCCCCTCTGCTTGGTGGGAGTCGTGCCGTTCAGAGTCAAGGCCTTTTGAGCCGGTTGAATGCGCTGCTTTCTGGGTACCACTTGACTACCTGTCTACTTCACTCTACCCAGTGGGAGGTGAAAGTAGGAGGGTCTTTGATCTCTATCAGCAAGCGTTTCTGCAGACAGTTGGAAGCAGTCTTACCAGAGAGTCTTGGCCCCCTCATTTTGAGCCGAAACTGGAGCGCTGACGAAGTTGGGATCACTAGATCCATTCATGCTGGGACTGTTGACGAGCGCGCCCACGGATCTTTACCGCCCAATGAATGATCGGTGAGGTTCCCAGTTCGAATCTTCCTGGTGAGAGTTGGCGTGACCTTGGCGTTAATGATCTTCTCTTTTCGATGATGGGGATTATGGGCGCCAGCGTGAGCCGGAACGAGACCCATCATCGGATTGGCACCATGGCCCTGTCCATACTGAGGTACCTGGCAATGACAAAGGTTGTTTATTGATTAGCTTCTCCGTCCGAAAGTTGCGTGAAGGAGGGCAAGTTCGACTTGCAGGCGCGTTCTGTGCTTACTTCAAATAGGTCTCGCGGACGATATCGGAGAAGATTGGCATATTCCACTGAGAGACCACCCTCCTGGTGGTTGACTGGAAGCAGGATATGTCCTGGACTTTTTGGTGGACTCGTCATGAGAACGATGCCTCCCTAGGTATCCTGTTGCAGGTTGCTAGGCGCTGGTTATCAATGGTGATGGAACAGAAAGCTGTAGTAGGGTCATCTGCTCAGCAGAAAGTTCAGAAACAACACGCGTTGAGGGGCTCCCACGAGATACGCGCCTATCACGCGACCACCCTGGGCTTTCGTCCGGTGTTTTCCACACCTTCACCACTCTCTTTGGCAACAGCTGGTGAATTCTCGTTGACCCATTCACGGAGGCCGCTGCCCTCTGCTTCTGAATCGCACAGGAATTTCTGAACCAGCAGCCAGCTCCAAACAGGTATATAATCCCCCCTCCCCAACCTTTCCTCTCCCGCTCACTCTATTCCTCTTACAACGAACCAAGCCTCAGCTTTCGGTAAGTCCCCCACCACATCCTCCCTCCTCCAGCCTTTGCTCATCCTGGATTCTTTTTCCTCTTACACCAGCGAGACCTCCAGCTCCTGGTAAGTCTTTCACTACATCTCCCCCTTCCAATCTTTCCTTGCCTTTGACGCTTTTCCTCCTACAACCCACCACAGCCCCAGTCCGCGGTAAGGCTCCCAGTCCCACTACATTCTCCCCCTCCAGACCTTTCCTCCCGCTTCCTCTCTCTCCTCCTTCAACCCACAGCACCTCCAGTCCCGGGTAAGGCTCCCACTACATCTTCCCCTCCCAACCTTTCCTCGCCCTTCCACCCTTTCCTCCTTCAACCCACAACACAAACAGTTTTTGGTAAGACTGCCAATACATATTCCCTCCCACCCTTCTCTCACCCTCCCACCTTTTCCCTCTTCAACACACCACACGTTCAGTCCTGGTAAGACTGCTACTACACCTTCCCCCATTCCCCCAGCCTTTGCTCACCCATCCACCTTTCCCTCCTTCAACCACAACACCTCCAGTCCACGGTACGGTCGCGCAAGTGGTGCTGCCATCGCCAACCTTCTGCTCAATCCCTCCACATCATCACAGGCAGCGTCGCTAACGGCTTGGTTTCCATTGTCTAGATTCGTTATTAACCATCGTCTCTGCCGGCCTTGCGACCAGCTCTCTGTAAGCTCCCCACATGTCCCTTTGCTTTTTGACAGTTACTGACGGTGCCCGAAGTCCAGTCACGTTTCCCGACTGTCTCCCCCGCCCCGCACTGTTCCCAAGTTCGCTTGGGAAGTCTTCGGATTTTTAATCCGAAGTAAGAAGGTCAGTCATATACATCTCCTACTTTATTCGTCCCAGCACTGCTCCGTTCCCTCGTCCGATGTTTCCCAGTCTCGCGCTGTCTGTCCACGGCTTCTCGCGCGAGACTTGGGTTTTTTCTCGCCGAGCGACGCGATCGTTTTGCTTTTTTGCTTTGCTGCTCTTCTTTGCTCCGCCTCTCTCACCCTCCTCCGTTTTGACCAAGTTGAGCCCGCACCCCCCTCTTCGACCCTTCACTCTTTGACCAAAGTGAACCTCTTCCTCCTCAACCAAGTTGGACCCCCTTTCCTGTCGCCCCCTCCCACCGTCTCCCACCCCTTAATCAGGGTGAAGGGGAATTCTCTTCCACTCTTCAGCCAAGTCGAACCCTCTTCCCCTCCCGCCGTCTCCCAGGCTTTAATCCGGTCACGGTGAACGGGCGTCCTCTTCCATTCCTCTCATGGCCGGGTGGTCGTGACCCGTGAACGACGCCGCCTTCATCGCGGCGATGAAAGTTTGCGTTATGGCACCGGGGATCCGAGCACCTTGGAAAGAGGCAAACCCAGAACCGGGATACGCCTCAAGAGAGTGGAGAGGCGGAGCCGGGGCTGTTGGGCGCGACAGTTGAACCCTCTCTTTCTTCTTCTCTCAATCGCTTCCACGAAGTCGACCTTCTCCACTCCCACCGTCTCCCAATCTTCAAACAAATTGGGCTCTCTTCCGCCTCCAACCTCTTCCACAGTTTAGTTCTTCCTCTCCCGCCCTCTTCCACTGTCAACTCTCCCACCGTTTCCCACTCCTTGATTGAGGTAAAAGGGGATCCTCTTCACACTTCAACCAAGTCAAGCCCTCTTCCCCTTCCAAGTTGAACACTCTTCCATTCACACCCTCTGCCACTCCTCAACTGTTGAGTCCTCTTCCACCACGTCAAACTCCTTCCTCTCCCGCCGTCTCCCAGGCTTTGATCTGGTCAGGGTAAAGGGGGGGAGGTGGTGTGTGGAGGGGGCTCTTCCACCCTTTAACTAAGTCAAGCCCTGCTCTTCTCCCGCCATCCCCCACTCTTCAAACAAGCTGGGCTCTCTCCCGTCTCCGACCTCTTCCGCCCCTTTCCTCTTCCTTTCTCGCTGTATTCCACTAGGTCAACTTTTCCACCGTCTTCTACTCGTTGATTGAGGTGAAGGGGGATCCTCTGTCACTCTTTGATCGAGTTGAGCCCTCTTCCTCTTCCGTCAAGGTGAACACTCTTCCACTGCCGCCCTCTTCCACTCTTCAACCAAGTTGAACCCGCTCCCGCTTCTAGCAAGTTAAACCCTTCCATCCCACCGTCTCCCACTCTCTTTTCATAAGCGGTCCCTCTTCCTCTCCCACCCTCTTCCATCCAGTCAACTGTCCCAGCGCCTTGACTCTCTATTTAAGGCGGGCCCTCTCCCGCTTCCGACCTCTTCCAATCCTTCCCTCTTCCTCTTCAACCAGGTTGCTTTGCAACCTTCTTCCTCGTCGACCCTCCTCCGCCGCCTGCCTTTTCCGTCCGTCGCGCCTCTCCCCTCGTCTTCGCGCCTCTTCCTCGCGCGCATCAGATACCATTCAATCACCGTTGTCGCTCACTTGAAATGTTTTCGTCAAAATGTTTGCTCTACTGACACATCGTCATCTCAGCAGAAGTCACCATGTCGTCCCGCCGGCCTGACAGCCGGAACCGCTCGGACAGTGCGTCCGACGGGAGCTCCGGCTCCTCTGTCGGCGCCACTGCCGGCAGTTTCGCTGTTGGGGGTGGTGGTGCGCCCGTTGGCCTGGTCAGCCCGGGTCAGTTCCGTTCGGCGCCTCGCGCTCCTCCCCCCTCTCCCGCCTCCCGGCCTTCTCCCGCCCCGGCTGCTGCTGCTGCTGTCCCCGCCGCCGCTGCCGCTGCTGCTGCCGCCCGGCCTGCTCCCGCCGCTGGTGCCGCTGGTGCCGCTTCCGCCGCCACGTCCGCCGCCCCCGCCCCTCCCACCAACAGCGGTCGTGCCTCGGGCACACAACCTGGTTGGCCTGGCCAGCCAGGTCAGACTTCTTTGCGCGCGGCTCCGCCTCTGAGTCTCAACGCTCTCGCGGCGTACCCCGGTCCTGGGGTCGCCTCCAACTTCCACGGTGCCCGGCTCCCGGGTGAGACGACGCAGGCTTTCATCGCCGCGATGAAGGCCGCGACATTCACGGGTCACGACTCTCCAACCCTCAGGGTAAGTCAAGTCAATTATTTTCCTTCGGGCCATCCGCTCTTCAACAAACCCTCTGCTTCTGCCGCCCGCTTCCACCTCTCCCACCGTCTCCCACTCTCTATTTAAGCGGGCCCTCTACCACTTCCAACCTCTTCCACTCCTCCCCCTCTTCCTCTCCCATCCTCTTCCATCCAGTCAACTGTCCCAGCGCCTTAACTCTCTATTTAAGGCGGGCCCTCTCCCACTTCCAACCTCTTCCAATCCTTCCCTCTTCCTCTTCAACGGTTCAACCTGCTTGCTTTGCGACCTTCTTCCTCGTCGACTCTCCTCTACCAACTTGACACATCCACCATCCATTTCGAGTATCCCACGCTAACACCCCATTCAGCAAGTGCGGGCGAGCGCCGCCCAGATCAACTCGCGGGTGTGGGGCCTGCGAATGGGATCCCTCAAGCATGAGGGACTCCCCCAGGACTACGTCGCCCAGGTCGACGTGGATGTCACGTTGGTGCTGCAGTTCCTGACAGAGCTGCTTGGCCACGCCGACAAGTTGGACGCAGAGCTCAAGAAGGTCTCCAACGAGGGGGACCGGCTGCGCGCGCTCAACGACCGGGAGCGCAAAGAGCATGCGCAGTATCAGAATCGGGTGCAGGCGTGCATCACCGACATGGAGCACGATATGCAGCGGAATAGCGACCGTTGCATGACGATGGAGGGCCTCCTGGCGAGTCTCCAGGCGCAGAGCCTGGAAGATCAGCAGAAGCTCGAGGTATGTACTAGTAACGAACTGGGATGTGCGACGCTGGTTAGTCAAAGATAATAGCTAACCGTGCTGTATCAGGACATTGAGGCGGAGATGAAGAGACTCGCCTGGCGAAACGAGGTGAGAATTGAACTCCTTTGACTCTTATCATTGAACACCACCATTGCTAACAGGTCTTTTTCAGTTTCTTCAAAGCCAACTCGACGGCCGTCGCCATCTGTGGATGCAAGTCCACGGTGACCCTCAGGAGCTCGACGCGGGTCTGGTGGATGACTCCCGCCGCAACGAGCAGATCGCCCGCCCTCTTCGCGCTGTTACGAGCGGTTCTCACCCCTTTGGCGCCCCGACTGCGACAGGCGCTTTGGTCCGGCAGTCCCAACCCGCTCAGGCCCAGCAGGGTTTACTTCCGCGTCCCTCCGGTCTGCCGCCCCGCCCAGCTGTGCACATCGGCCAAGGCTTCACTGGCGTTCGAAATCTTGGTTCTGGCCTCGCCGCCAGTCGCCACTCAGGCATCACGCCGTCACAGAGCTCTTCTGTGTCAAGAGCGCTGGTCCCTACCGCCACAGAAACTGGCAGCCCCCCGGAACGTCGCCGCGCCACGTCTTCTGCTTTGGTCAAGGTCGAAACCAGCATTGACCATGTTGATGAGGGCGAACACTGGGCCAACGAGTTCAATGCTCTCTTTGCCCACATCTATGGCTTCTGCAAAAATTATTTCGAGAACACGCCAAAGATCGAGGGTGACTGGCGCAAACATTTCCAGTCTGAGGGAGAGGGTTTCGTTTGGAAGCACGTGTGCTCGATTGTTCACCCAAGACAGGAGCGGGAACGTGGGGACTACGCCTTGTCCCTGCTCAAGAACGACGGGTCACGCCCATACTTTATCCAGCGCATGATTCTGCAGCTGATCACCGCCGAGGTCCTCACAATTGAGGGCTGGCAAGATTACTCCGCCGAGGTTGACAAAGAGATGAAGGAGATCGAGGCCGGGCTGAAGACGACCGACCCCTTCAAGACCTACGACCGCCAGGCGCTTGTCGACCGGCGTGCTGTTCTCGTGGGCAAGATGGCCGAAGGCCCCAAGGCGAAGGCCTTCCGCAACCACAAACTCAACCATCACCATCAGAAGTTGCGGGCCATGGTTGCTCCCTTTATCCCCAAGATAAAGAACGACATGACGCGTGACGAGGCCTTTTTCGACCTGTTCCACATCACCGAGCAGGCCTTTGACCTGTCTGGCAAGCTTCTGCGTTCGCCGTTGACGTTCCAATTCACCTGGTGCGACGAGCTCAGCAAGTTCTCTGCGGATTTCCAACAGGCGATCGGCTGCAATATCGCTCCGGCGATCCTCCAGCGCGATCAGTGGCGTGTCAAGCTGTGTGCTACGCCCGCTGTTACCATGCGTAGTGATCAGGGCGTGTCGATCCGGGCGAAGCAGATTGTCAAGGCGGGCGTCATGATCATGCGCTAAGCCCGCTGCCCCATCCGCTTTCACCTTTTACGTTCTTGGTACATTACATTGCAGCTTCTTTTTTCGGTATATGGTCTGGTTCTTTGGTCCTTCGGTCTTTCGGTCTCGGTCACGTGGTCTCCCGGTCTCTTTCACATGACGACAAAACAATAAAAAGAGTTCGGGTCTCTTCTCTTCTCTTGGTCACATATTGATCTTCCTTCTCAGGGGTTCTTTGTTCTGGAACCTCCCTTTCGCGATCCCATCTTTTCGCGAGCTCATCTTTTCGCGATCCTATATCCTCGCGATCTGATCTCTTGTCACCTGTGTAACCACAAGTTGCGATCTGATCTTCACACGATCTGATCCTTTGCGCAACGTAGAGTCGCGATCTGATCATCACGCGATCTGATCTTTACGCGGTCCCATGGAGTCGCGATCTGATCTTACCGCGATCTGATCTTACCGCGATCTGATCTTACCGCGATCTGATCTTACCGCGATCTGATCTTACCGCGATCTGATCTTA